TATAGTGTTTTTATTGTATTTTCTTGTGAATTTATTGATATTTTTGATTTATACTTGAGTAAACCTTGTTATTTTTGATTTCTTGTTTAGTTATTTTATAGTATTTTTGTTATAGTTTAGGCTTTTTTTAGTTTTTTTGTTTAAACATTTCTTAACCACTCTTATATATTAAGTCAAGTAATATATTTGTTTGATTTAATTGATGACAACACATTTTATTATTAAAATATTTAATATTTAGTTAAGCTAAGCAAGCATATTACAATATAATCATCTTAATTCAACTAGCTCAAAAAAGATATTGATCAAAATAAAATTGAAGAAGGATTTTTTCTTATTGATGTTTTAGAAAATAACTAGTATAAAGAAATTTTAGAATCATATTTAAAAATTTAAAGAAATAACTTAGTATACTTAACAATATTAAGAGCAAAAGAACTAAATCTCATTTTTAAATTTAGCAGTACCAATTTTCCAAAATTCAATTAGAATTAAAAACTTTGTATTATATTAGAAAAATATTTACTCTTCTAATAGTATATTATTTTAAAAGTCTTAATTTGATACTTATTAATCAGCTACTAAATCTAAAAGAGAAAAGAATAATAACTTAATAACAACTCAAGTTTTTTAGAAAAGAAATAAGCAAAAGCAGAACAGCTAAATAGTTTAAGCAAATAAAAAAATTAATATTAAAAAACCCTCAAAACAGACTAATTAAAATATAATACAGAACAGAGAGTAATAACAGATAGTTCTTAAAAGTTTATTTGTCTAATTTTATAGCAGATAATTGAATTAAAGAGTAAATAATTATACAACTACCAAAAAATAGAAAGAATCTAAAACTAATAATTGTATAAATAATTTCAAATACACTAAAGAAAATCTTAGTAGAATATTAAACCTTAGATGATATATACAATACAAAAAATTTTATACTAAAGAAATATGCAGGATGTAAATTGAACTAACATGAAGCAATTAAAAGTTGTAGGAAGTACTTAGAAACAAAATCTAAGCATTTCTATCTGCTTTTGTTAAAAAAATAGGAAACAAATAGAGATTAGAAATTTTTGTAAACTTGATTAAAGTATAATATAGAAATAGAAAATCAAAATTTGCTAAAGAAGAATCTTGATGTATAAAAATTGTTAATTATAATCTAAATATAAAAATGATTCAAAAACAAAATATGTCATCCAAACTTAAAAAGAGTTTAATTGAATAGAATCAGAACAACCATTTACTACTTTATAGAGATCTAATTTTTTATACAAATAGATCATTGCAGCAAGCTAAGAACAATACAAAGAGCTCTGATCATATGAGTATAGAGATCTTGCAAGTAGATCATAATAAATAAATAATAATTAAAGAAGATTTTGCTAGAACTGAAAATTGGCTTTCATCAATTAAATCAGAATTAATAGCAATCTGATTAGCAATTCTTATAATATCAAGTAAAGGGAAAGTCAAAGTATATATTGATAGTACAACAGTAATTGCAAATATAAAAAAAGAAAAGAGTAATCTTTTAATAGATGATTCACTATCTGGTAAGCTATATGATACAAATTACAAAGATTTATATATACTGTAAATTGTCGAGGATGATGCTAGAATTAGATGATACTAAAATTTATATAATCACATAATGATCTTTTGCATAAACACCTAGTATTATTATTGCTATTGGTGTTATAGTTAGGATTAGAGCATAAAAGGTTTTTTTTTATTTTATATATATTAAATCTAATTGTACTAGGGCAATTAAAATATAGTTATACCCAAACCCTAATTCTAATATTAATAATAAAATTTTTTAGTTGGTGATGCTAAGGTTCTACAAGCACTTTATATGGAAGATTATTATATAATTATGTAAATTTTAGCATTATCTGTTTTTTTTTTTTTTTTAATCTTCAAAGGTAAAGCCATACCTTTATTTTTATTAAATTCAATTAACATTATCTGATTTTAGTATCATTCTTGATATAAATTATATATAAATTCTTCAATTAATGTAGAGATATTATATCTAAAACTTTTTTCTTACTAAATAAATCACTTTTGGGCTTATAATGAAAGTTGTAGAGCTTATCAAGATATATTTAATAATAATAATAATATTAATATTAGCAAAAGTGTGACAACTTAGTGTAGTTGGTAAGTTGTTGTATCCCCAAGCAGCAGGATAAGAGTTCGAATTCCACTAGTAATAAAATTTAAATTTACAGAATGTATTTAAAAGACTGTATTTTATTTGTGTTAGCATCTATAATAAGATTACACCAGTACTGTTATACTGAGAGACAATGAAAATACTGTGTAATGCATAAGTTGCACAACAGTGAAGCTGCCAGATATAACTAGTAGATTAGATACAAAAGCCTGCTTGGCAAGACCCTAACAGAGAGGTAGCACAGATTTTTGACAATATTATCTAATAATCTAAAAAAGGGAAACTGAATGGCAAGAAAAGAGAGAACTAAACAGAACCAAAGTATTTGGCAAGGCACTCTATCAACCAAACTGCTGGCGAGTAACCAGAGAAAAAGGATCCAATGTGGATATCAGGAGCAGATCACAGCTCTTCTGAGCTATCTAGATTGAAAGTTTAGAGAACCAGAAGTAGAACTTAGTTTGAGAAACTGGAAGTATAAATTGTTAAGTATATATTGAGATTTGAGTGAACTTTGCAAGAGTACAAAGTAGGTAACAGTAGCAGATTCAGATTGCAAGTACTTGTTCTCAGACTCAATATAAGTAACTGAAAATTTAGATAATACATGTGTAGAACATAGACTGCTCTAATAGGTTTACCACAAGATTAAATGACCCCTTATATAGTTGCTTTAAAGACCTAACAAGTCTTAGCGGCAGGTTTCTCTTTAAGCAAAATGTCTAATAGCGTAAAATTAATTAGTGAGTTTAATTGGGTAACTCAAGTAATAGTAGGTTACAGGTATAGCATTTAGTGTAGAATCTAGTAATAGGTAAACTACTTAATTAGGTGCTTAAAAAATGCAGGTATGGCTAGAATATACTTTTATTAATGTAACAAGATCGGGTGCAGTCCATATATCTATACTAATATCAATTTAAAAGTTCAATAAATCATATCAGACCTGTAAGTGGTCACTTTAACATTAAAATTAGCCTGGTAGTTTTTGAGAAATCTTCAAAAAATATTTTAGCAACATACTGTATAAAATTTTTTTAAAAAAATTAATTTTTTTATATATTAAACTATTTTTTAAAGATTTCTCAAAAACTACAGGCCGATTTTAACATTCTTACTACTATTAAATACATCTTAATAAGCTTTCTTTACAACTTTTGTTATAAGCTTAAGAGTAATTTACTTAGTAGAAAAAAGTCTTAGATGTAATATTTTTATATTTAGCTTAATAGTAAAATTTACTTATAAAATTTGCAGATTCTCTCCAGATGACAGATAGATTATCTATTAAAATAATTAATAAGTATATATGATCAGAGTTTAAATAGCTAATTTTCAAATAAATTGTTGATATTACTACTAGTATAGAACCTTTGGGTAAACTATTTAAATAGACAATCTAAAATTATATGTATGATTAAATTATATTCTTGTTGTAATACCAAAATGTATACCAATATGCAATGTTGTATATTGGATATATCCACACTATATAAAATGTTTAATGTCTAAAATTGTCCAAAATCATTCAAGCATATGTCCAAAGTTTAAATAATCAATAAAATATATTGAAATATATATAATTATATATTTTTTTAGATACTAGATTTATTTATAAAAAAATTAAAATAGATAATAAAATTTTGAGTAATTTTAATTTGAAAAAATATTCAAAAGTTTCCAAAAGTGTTTACATAACAACACTGCTTATACAGTTAACAATAAATATTAATAAAGCTTAATCTCAAAAAACACCTTAATATAAAAAAAAATAAAAAAAAAAAAATATATATAAAAACATATTGCAGATTTACAAAATTGAAATTGAATCTAAAAATAGTTTTCAAAATATGATTATTTACAAAATTTATTGGTTAAATAATAGTCAAAAGATTAATATATAACTGATCATTATAAATAAACCTATTAAATAAACATAAACCTATAAAATAAGATAATTAAACTTGTAAAATTATATAAAATTTGGGGTCTTAAAAAAGCCCAATTTTGTAAATCTGCAATTACAGTATAATTTAAATCAAAATATAAAATTAGTATTAAACTTCTATTAATTATCTAATTATTTTTTTATTAAAAATTTATCTTTTTTTTAATAAAATTATATAATTTTAACTTTTTTACCCCTTCTTTCTAAAAAATCACCTGATTTTTTTGTTATTTCTTTTAATAAATTTTTTTTATTTTAATTATACAACTTATAAAATTAAAATAAAAAATTTTATTAAATTAAATTTGATAGTTTTTAAAATCAATCCTATTTATATTAACTTCATCATAACTTATTTTATAAAATTCTATACTGTAAAATAAATATTAATTTTATTAATATTTTAAAACATTGCTATTCCTATAACTTTTTATGAAGTTTTTACCCTTTTTTTATATTGATTCTTAGACTTAACCATCTTTACCTAAAATTAATAATACATATTATTTTCATATAATTATCGCTTCATTATATAACAAAATAATTCTAACCTTTCTTTTCAAATTTCTTTGTTCTAAATGAGAACAATTATTTGATTCTGTAACTTCAACACTATTACTATTATTATCGTCAGCTTTGTTATGTCCCCTGATTTTGCTGTCTCTATCTTTTGATAATCTAGCCCGTTTTTTGACGATAATAGCATTCTCAGTAGAAAATTCCACAATCAATCTCTTTTTTTCACCAAATATGTCTGGATTGTTGTTAAGATATCTCAATGCTGCTAATGCATGAGAATGTTGTGTGAATTCAAGAAATCCATAACCCTTCGATCGCAGTTTTTTCGTTGAAGAATCAATTCGATCTTTGGACCGAACGATTTTGGCCTGTAAAATGAGTTATTAAATATTACTTACATATTAAAGGACAAAATTTATTATTATTAATTGCAATACCTGTTTGATATGAACTAGTTTGTCCCATCCTTCCATTTTCTCCGTTTTTGTTAGGTCCGCTCTTTTACCTTTTTTAACTTCCTCTTTAAACCTTTTAATGCTTTCCTTGCCTAAATTTTTTATTTTTTTTTCATCTACGGAAAGTGGTAAATTTCGCATAGACAATCTAGTTTTTGATATAAAGAGATTTGGATTTTTTGCCAATAAATTCTTTCGAGCAGAAAATGATGCAGCACGCTTAGTTACTTCTGAAGGTGGTAGCAATGCTGCATCTGGTGTATTTGGAAATACAGCTAAAAGCCAATTAATCAAATAAAAATAAGAAATCTAGTAAAACTAGTAAACGATTTTGATTTCAATTACTATTCACCATACCTCCTTCTTTAATCAAGTATGTGTTTCTTCGATCTTCTTTTCGCCTTTTATTTTTATTCCTTTCCATTAATCTATGTGCTTCATCCTTATCAACAGCTTTGACCACTGATAAAACTCTACCATGTAATGTAAATTTGAGCGCTTGTGAGCCTGATGGATCAGCTGTGAGAACTGATTTATGAATTATTCCTTTCCGTTTCTTTTCATTAGTCGACAGTCCTGGCCGTTCAATTGAATCAAATCCGATGTGATTTACGCATCTCGCCTCCTCGAGACATGTATCTGCATGTTCTTTGTGTGCAAAACATACAAAACCAGTACCCCGCGAACGGCCCGTTGTATCATCCCTCGTTATTACACAATAACGTAATGGGCCAAATGGACGAAATCTATAATTTAAACAAATAAATTGATGTTGGGTTTGTTTACAGTATAATTATGAAATATCATCTATTAAATTAGATACCAACTGACATGTCACTCAACTCTTCTTCAGTGGCTTCAAAGGAAAGATTGCGGACAAATAAGACTGCATTTTCTGATAGCGTATGAAGTTTGTTTTTGACTGAATTGTTATTTTTATTGTTGTTTTCAACGCTGTCAACTTCACTCTCATCATCATGATCAATATCTTTACTGCTATCTTCAGTGCTGTCAACTTCATCATCATCATGATCAATATCCATATCTATCACCCTGTTTTCGTAAGAATTATAACTCTTTACTTGTTGATTTTCACTTTCATCTGTTTCATTTTCATTCGATTCCTCCTCAGAACTTTCAGCACAAGAATCGATACAATAACCATTATTTTGTTCACAAACATACTTGCTTTGTTGAGATTTCAAAGCTTTCAAATACTTATCCTTAGGTAATGACCAATCAACAGCAATAGTCCGGCCATGATGTTTGGTTTCATTAATTGCATTGATTGCCTATTATTTAAAAATATTTAAGTAAAGTCAAAAATAAGTTCACTAAAAAAGCAACTGTATATCTACCCTTTCAGCTTCTTCAACTTTTTTATATTGTATATAAGCAAATCCGCGTAATGGACCATTTGGATATTTACGCGGTAGATTTACTTCAACTACTTCTCCGTGAACAGAGAAAATCTTTAAAAGCTCTGGTTCTTGGTACTGTGTGAAATTTATGATTTTGTTATTTTTAATAATGAGAGCTTAATAAGATGTTAAAAAAAGAAAACAGGTGAGACAATACCTCCCATGGAATATTACGAACGATCAACCGGCATTTTTTGTCAACTGATACTTTCTACGATGAATTGCATTATTAATCAATAGTATGTAGTCGGAATTAAATAATTCCAGAGTCAACCTTACCTTTTTAACCAACAATTTTGCATTCATTTTTGATCCATGAAATACATGTCCATCCAAACGTT